TGGAAGAGCTACTGCCAGTAACTAGAGTGGACCTTTGAATATATCACAATCTCTTAGTAAATTTTAAGTCAGTATATTAAGTAGTAAGTAATGTTGAATGCTTAGCCTTATTTCTGAAATGATGTGACAAGAAAGTCATAAATACAGATATGACTTACATTTTACAGTTAACGTCTTCCTTTTTCCCCCCTTTAAAATCTGTGTGATTAGTTAATACAGAGCTACCTTCGAACTGTAAACTACCTTTGCCCCCTTCAGCAGAGTAGTTTTTTTTTATATTTAGAACAAAAATGACAGGCCCAAGAAATAAGTGTACTCTAAACATGCAATCTCAAAGTTTTTAGAAAATGTATGGTTGCACTACACATTTTTAAAAATTAAGAGAAACATTGTAATATATTATTTGATATTAATAGTTTGGAATTACATATTTAGTCAATATAATTATATTAATGAGTGAAATGTTTAAAAATGCACTTAAGAATTTTGCTTGATTTAATTTTCATGACACTATTTATAATTTATGGGTAAATTCTGGATTCTCCCACTATTAATGCAAATTTAAAGATTCTGTGGTTTAATTAGCCATTCAGTTCCATTTTGTTGATTGCAGTTTGTTTCTTCCTTTAAATGATCTTGCCATGGCACATAGTTTTTGTGATAATTCACTTGCCATTCTCTCTGACTTGATGAACAATTTTTCATCAGAACTGTTGCTCTGTATCTGTTTCTGAGATCTTGTGACCTCATAATATTAGTTATAATATATATTATAACTCTTGCCTTTTGCTGGTCTCTTTCTCTTGGCCTCTGATTTTCCAAGCATCGGAGTCTTATCCAAAGATTCCTGCTTCTGCATTATGTGTCCAAAATATGTAAGCATTAGCATTGTTCCAGTGGGTGGTCTGATTTTATTTCATTTTGTGCTGAATTATTTGTTCTTTGTGTTGTCCAAACATAGTTATCCTTCTGGAATTTGTCCCTGACAGATCCTCTCCCTATCTCTGCAAGGCCCATCACCATTTCTGTCTGGTCTCCCAATGCTCCACAGGAATTCTCTTGCCCAGCAAAAATCTTTGCCCAAACATTCACTCCTCGGCATTCCATAGCAGCCGTCTCCCTCCCATCCTTAATCTGACTAATGTGGAATGGCCATATTTAGATGGTGAGATGAAGGCAAATCCTAGAACAATGAGCAATATCAGCCACCCAATTCATCACGTTTGGTGGTATTTTGAGAGTCCAGGCTAGGTCTCCAATGATAATTAGGTCCCCCTTCCCTGTAATACTTCCTAATCTATAGGTTTTTCTCTGGACCATGATAAAACTACAAGTATTGGAAACACATCATATATTATTTATAACATATAATTCTAATAATCCCATTATTAGGGGAGATCATTGTTATCACCACTTGTGAAAACATAAGTCTTACTACATGTATATCATGGGTTATTCAATTGGCATCATTTGCTCCCCCAATTAAAAAAAACCAGGTTAATGGTAACCTCAGTTGCCAGAACCATTCTGCCCTGAGAACCATATCTACTAAAGATAAATAGAGGAGCTTTTTGTAAATCACTGTTCTGTCTTAACTAAAATAATTACACTTATTAATATTGGACTAGCTTAAAATATCTAGCACTTTAGCAGCACCTAGTGGCAGATACACTCAATACATCTATAACAATATTTATAATAAAGCAGCAGGGTGTTAATGTTTTGAACGCTATATGAAATTGACATATTCTTTTTAAAGATTAAAAAATAATAAAATAGTATATCACAAATGCATAGTCACTTTATTAATGTAAAATCAATGATATTAAAATGTGAAGATCAGTACATTATATATGCCCAGCTAGATGGCAAATAAACCAACCTTCCTGAAAGAAAGCAGTAACAGACCCCTTGTTTTTAAGAAATGAGCACATTTAAATTATGATGACTTAAGTCACCATGGGAGGTTTTCCTACATTATATTAGGAATACTGGCCTGTTTGCATTTATTAAATGGAATATGTTTTTTGAATATTACAGCAACCAAATTATTTAACTTTCAAATCTGGGAGGTTTTGAAGCATCTGGAAGGCACTGCCGTATTGTTCTTTTAGTTTTTCTCTAATGCAGTCTTTCAAATCCAAAATCCCAAGTCTACAGTGTCTAAACCAGGGATGTCAAACTTGATTTCATTGAGGGCCACATCAGGGTTGTTTGACCTCGGGGGGCTGGAATGGGCATGGCCAGGGTGGGCATGGCGAGCTTGACGTCACTCGTGTTGGGGATACCTATGGTGGACCGAGCGCTCTGCCAATGAAAACGGGTTTCCGAGCTCAGTTTTTAGCTCTGATGGCATCCTGCAGCCCTCTGCCAGTGAAAACCCCTCCCCCCAAGCTTTGTTTTCGCTGGCAAAGAACTGCAGGAGGCCGTCGCGGTCATAAACGGAGCCTGGGAAGGCTGTGTGCAGCTTTCCTGAGCGCAGTTTTCACTGGCAGAGGCACCAAAGGCCAGTCCTTTGCTGTTTCCAGGGTGACACCACGCGCCCAATCTAAGCACCTCCTGGGCCAGGTCTGGTCCGTGGGCCCTGGAGTTGGACACCCCTGATATAAACATTGAACAAAAAAGCCTGTCATGGACATCCTGGGACATTCAAAGTGATTCTCACTGAATAGATTTGGCTGGAGTTACCATACTCCTAGCTAGTCATAATGACATTTATAATCTAATATAGACCAGAGCAGACCATTTGTTTTTAAGCTATTGTCCAGCTGTCATATCTCTAATCACTTTTTACTTCTCAGCAAGTGTCTATAGATGTCCAGCAGCCACAGACTGCAGCCATAGGATCATACCAAACAGCTGGACAACAAACCTTTCTGCTTCTGGCAGTAGGACTAATAAAGGTGGCCCCTCCTGGAAGCTTGCTTCAATGAACCCTAGAAATAAGTATTCAGGAACCCAGGATATTTTGCAGCAAGTGCAGTCAAATTTGGTGCAGACCACTTAAGAGTCTTGCAGAGAATAGGATTGCAGGCAGAGAATCCTTGCAAGCAGGATTCCGGTTACTTTCAAGTATCACGTTAAGAATAGGGGGACCAGATTTGTTTTAGGGACTTTTCAGGAGTTATTCAACCACTTTTAGTTCTATTAACCATTGACTGCATGTTTTATTCATGACTTAGGGCAGGAAAAGAAATAAGTGATTTATTACCAGTCCTCAGACTTGCAGTCTCCAGATCCAAGGTGAAAGTGTACTATGATTAGATAAGTAAAAGCACCTGCTTGTTTCTTAAATAGTTCTTTGTTGTAGAAACCAACCCAGCTTTTATGCTCATAATTGTTCTCTTTTCTCAGAAAATTATTGTACCCCTTTTTCCTATTTAAATATATACATGTTTTTTTTTAAATAACAGGAGCAAGAATTGCTCACCTGCTAATAGCAGCTAAAGTTGCTCACTTATGTTAAAGAAAGCTAAGGTGGCAGGCTTGTTTGAAATAAATGTTATTTATTTCAAACAGGTAGTTTGAACAGGTATATATGCAGGTAGTCCTCAATTTATGATAATCAAAGCCAAGATTTATGTTGTTAAGCGAGACGGTGAGTTTTGCTCCATTTTATGACTTTTCTTGCCACAGTTAAGTGAATCACTGCAGGTGTTAAATTAGTAATATGTTGTTAAACGAATCTGGCTTCCCCATTGACTTTGTCAAGTGGCAAAAGGTGATCACATAACTCCGGGACACTGCAGCCATCATAAATGTGAGCCAGTTGCCAAGCATACAAATTTTGATCACATGATCATGGCGATGCTGCAATGGTTGTATGAAAAATGGTCATAAGTCACTTTTTTTCAGTGCTGTTGTAATACTGAACAGTCACTAAATGAAAGGTTGTAAGTGGAAAACTATCTTTACACATATGAAGCATGCCTTTATTTCAAGCAAATCTGCTACCTCAGCTTTCTTTGAGAGCAATTAGCAGGTGAGCAACTTCAGTGCTCCTTACTTTTTTTTTTTTAAGTCCATGTTAGTCTGGGGTAATAAAATGTAAAGGAAGCTGAATTCAATTATATCACCAGGGGGAAGACTTAGTTGAAAAATCTGGACTGGGACTCCCTGAGTAAAGGCAAACATCATTTAGCTCTTATGATTTGAAGCAGTATGTCGAGTTCTTAAAACACTTATAAATAAAATCAACCAGATGGGCCCTTTGCCTCATAGGTGACAATCTGTATGGTCTCTTCACAATTCACAAAACCGTATTTAAAGATGCAGGTCCCCTTTCACCAAGGGTCTTTCTGTCCTTGTTTATGCAAAGCTGAGGGAGGCAGGAAATTGTTAATACAAAACTTGTACTAAGCCAAAACATTGCTTGCTTTTAGCCAGTTGCCAAACAAGCAAGCAAACCACAGCTTGGTGTACATGAACTCAATGAACCCTGCTAGCACAAAACTGAGGAAACAGTATTGGCAAATCAATGTTAATTTATGTAATTTCAATTTCTTTTCACAATTCCACTGATCATCCTTTGTAGAGGAAGAAAATGTTCCCTCAAACTGATGCTGTTAAAAAACGCTCAAGACACTCAAACCTTGTGGCATGCTTTCAATACATCAGATATAAAACATAAAATATTGAGTATGAGAAACATTTGTCACTGTGAAGTACAATAAGAATGAAATTAAAATGGCTATACTAATCCTACCCTTATCAGTACAAGAATGCTGTATTAAGTCAGAAGAAAGTAGATTTAATTTGACACCTGTGACTTTCTTCTAAGCTGCTCAGATTTCTATAGCCAAGCTCAGAAAACTGATATATTTGTAAGATTTTGAACACAAGCTAATATAAATGTAACCCCAATGATAGAACTGAGTTACAACTGTACATTTTATAACTGTAATATCTATAACATTTATAGTATTTTATACCCAGAGCAGATATATGAATGGAAGAATACTTTTTACTTCTGACAATAAAATAAGTACATATAACAAAAATGAAATTTCAAATGTTTATTTTCAGATTCCTAAAAAATAGGGCTGTGGAACAGCAATAAATATATAACGACTATACAGAATATTTAGTTTTTGCTGATTCAATTATTGCATGTGTGCACATATGTCAATACAGTGTTGTCAATGAATGTGTTCAATGACATTAATTTCTTGATTCTTGATTGAACAAATTTAATCTGAATTTAAAAATGACAGTTCAACCTTGCCACACGATCCCATTTATGAAATATTATGGATTACAGCAATTAAGACGTTTGGGTGAATCTTTTCAGTTTCAGTTTAACTTTAAAGAATATGATTACTTTGTCCTGCCCTATTGTATTCCTTTTTACTTGCTCCTTGCTATTAATAAGTCATAAAATGGGATTTTTGTCATTGTCTATTCCTTTGTACAATCATTTTATCTCACATACAGTTTTTTTTAGGACAAACCCACAAAACCCAAAAAGAAAAAAAAAACCCACTGAGTTAAGAACTAATTTTCAGATTACAATCTTATGTTCGTTTGAATGTTTACTTCCAAGTAAGTTTGCATAATATATTATAAAACTTTATAGCAGTCCTGGCTACTCCAAACTATTTATTTAGAGTAATAAAGCACGCTGCTAAGTTCAATACATGAATACATTTTATAATAGCCTTTATCTCATTCTATCCTTCTCTTGAATATAGTAAACTCCAACACAAATCTAGCTCTATAAAATATTTCCTGACTGGCCCAACTATTTCACTTGGTCTTAGTCAATATTAATTTTCATAAAAATATACAATTAAGCCTCGTGGTTCTACAGACTGTTTACTGCTGCCGGCTGCAATTCACTGCTGTCTTAACAAATCGAAAAATTGTATTTCATACAGTTGCTGGATTTCAATAATCTGTACTCTATTATTCCAGGCAAACACACAATTGCTAAATGCCAAAAAACATTTACAATTACTTGTACCAGACTCTACAATTTTTTATAAGATCATCTTATTCAACATGATTATGCTGACATAGAAAGAAAAGACTATTCCTATGACCTTTTATATTTCACTGCATGTTCTAGTCATTCAGAAGACAGATGTTATCGGACAATTACTCCCTTGAACTATAACAACCAGCAGACACTCAGGCAAATGTTACATAGATCATATCAAGGATTCTTAAGGTGCAAACTTTAAATCTTCATTTAGTTCCTTAAAGAGGTGAGAAGATTAAAATTTTTATCTCAGTCAAGGAGTAAAACTGAAGAGATGACAAAATTATGAGGAAAGAACAAGGCTCACACATTTATCTCACAATTGAAACTGTAAAGGTAGAGGTTATGGGGAAAATAGAATAATACTCCCCTCCCCCCAATAACACAGTAATACGGTGGCATAATGAGTTATTTAACAATACCAAAAGACAATGTCCAATGGCTTCCATTCTCCAGGAAGCAGATTAAATGGCCAAACGCACTAGGTCAATTTTGTGAGAATGTTAAGCTCTTTGACAACTGACATTTTAAAGTAGAGATGCAGAACCCAATATCTAAACCACTGGATTAGTGCCCTCTCCTCTCACCTGACATAGCACTACCAGTGATTGGAACTGGTATGAATTGCAGCCTAACAATGACCAAATACAGATGAGGTTTCCACTCATTAAAGACCCACAGTGTATCATAGGGGAACAACCGCATAACTCTAGCTGCTAAAGACACTTTGTCATGCTAGGCAGTGCATGCTTTAAGATGGAGGCAACTAAGAGTTTTAGCCCTTGCTGTTTTGAAACAGAGCATTCTTAGTTATGACAGGAAGAGACAGGACAGCTCAGACTAGTTCCAGCCATCATTTTCTTCATTTTCATATTACTTCAGTAGTCATTGTTTTTTTTGCACGCTACTAGTACTAGGCTTGTTTTAAAACAGATCATAGAAAAAGGTATTTACTAAAGGCTGTGAAAGTAGAAAAATTACCTAGGAAAAAACCTGTTAGATCAGTATTATTTAGTCTAGAATTAACCCACAGGTTTACACAGTCCTTAAGTGTTATCTTTTCCTATAGAGGAGTATCTTTCCAATGTTAACACTTTTCTTTTTAAAAAATCATAACGTTTCTTAGTTTTTTTAGCTGCACTCTGGAAGCAACAAAGAGCATAATGACTGAACTCTGCATGTTGTAGAAAACATTAGAAAGTCGTTCAAAATCATTCCTGAAGTGGGTCCTTAACATTGTTTTCAATGAAAAACTAACCTGATAGAATCAAGAAAATTCAGCATTCCTTCCCACACTGACCATCTTGATAATTGTGGAAAGTCTACAAACAAGACATCAGTACAGTAACCTTTTCCTGATCGTGCTCCCTAGCCAAAAATTATGTTCGCTAGCACTCAGAGGTAAACTATATCAAACAGTGATAATAATAGTTATCATAATGATTAGAAGCACAAGCTGTTTTGCCCTCCAAGAATAGCACTGGTAAACTATATTTAGAATTACAAGAGAAAACGTAGGAGTATAAACTGAATTCTTCTGCACTGCATGTAAATATTCCCCTCCTAAATAGAAATACAAAACTCTGCAATTTTGCTAAATGTTTAGCGATCAATACAAAGGTATAAATTATTGGAATGCTTACTGCTAGATTTTAGGATGTTAAGTACTAAAGTTTTAAATAAGACATCACCTGTTGCAAAATATTAATAAAACAAGATTAGATGTTGAAATTGTAAATAACAATATAAAATTATGACCAAGAACATGCCTAAAAACTTGTTCATCAAAAATACAAATTGTACTTAATCATACAATTATGACTATTTGCATGAAGATGACACACCTTTGTGCCAAGACTGTATTATATCTTTTACTCAAAATAAAGATTTTATCTTTTAAATAAAGCCAAATAAAAAATTACTAGAAAAACAATGATACAAATGCTAAAACTAGCTTATTAAAGTATACTTAATTAATTTACAAATTTGTTTTTATAAGAACAGGTTTGAATTGTAAAGAAGAATTTGTAAAATCCCATAGTTACAAATGTTGATGTAAACTTTTCTTCTGAAAACATTAGAACATTCAAGAGAGTTGAAAAAGACCAACATATTAATAAAATGAACATAGTTTAACTAAAATATTTCCATGAATAGAACAAATATCATACTTTTCCTTGAATTATATGCACAGTTGCATCCAACTGAGTCTGTTAGATAATATCCAGCTGAAGAAGAAGCAAAATCCTTGTCCCTTTTCCAAATATGAATTCTGTGACACCTTGTAAAGTAGATGTGGAGAAGAACCAGAAAAGAATCTACTGTAAGCAATCCATTCCTATAATACTGGATGTAATTCGGTATTAATTCTGTTGCCTGCGTTTTGCTGATCTCATTTTCTCAAATCGTGATTCCATCTCTTCCAGGACTTTGGGTGTATAGCGTACAACCAACTTAACTTTTCCTTGAGCTGCTTTTAGAAGTTCTACAGCTTTTTCATGGTGCTCCCCTTCAACACTCTGGAAAAAAATTACACACACACACACACACACACATATATATATTAGTATATATTCAACAAGTGTCCTAAGATTCAAGGGCCATTATTTATAAGATTTTTGTTTCCTTTATCATACATTGTCATCTCCAAACCATTCCAAATTAAAATCATGTTTTTCAAACATGAATCCCGGTGTTATTAAGTAGCCCATACAATGTTTTTATCATCATCACATACCATGTGATTGCATTCATTAGAAGCACATCATTATTGTTTCTTTTAAAAGACTTTCTTCCCAATGTATCATTTTCAAATTCTATTCAAGTACCCATATAGTAATTGAAAATGAAAGTTATAAATTGTAATTATGAAACCATGAATATGAATGTACTCACTCTTAATTACTTACTGATGTATCACAGAAAAAGAAACAACTCAAAACAGTATTAATTTACAGGTGGAATCAGAAAAGTAAATTTGATAAAAAATCAAATTAAAACATATGTGAAGCAAAATTTTGCTTAAAAAGCTGAGTTTTTGATTTAGAAACATAGATAATGTAGTGAGAAACAATCTTTCATAAATAAACTTCCTACAGTTGCATACAAAAGTTTAAGAAAACAATAATATAGCAGGTGTAGAAGTTTGAAAACCCTTCCAGTTTCAGTTAGAGAAAAATTGTTAATAATACCTAAGAATTGCTTCATTCAGGCTGTGCCTGTAATAGCCAGGTGAAGACAATTCTACAAGTAAGTAAATATAGTTTTAATCTTTTAAAGTGGGATTCTCCTGTCTGCTTTCAAGACCATACATGCTTATAAACATCTGTTTGACTAGTTGAAAATACAGATCATTCAAGCCAATCATCAAACAGTTTTATTCTGCTTTTGGGGCTGTGTGGTAGCCGTAACATAGATAATATTTTCTTCTATTGGCTAGAAAATATTGTGCAGATAAAAGAATAGATTTAATTACATATCAACCCAATCTTGATGACCTTTCACTAGGCATTAAAAACTTGACTTTTCCATCAAGTTTAAAATCCCGATAGTTTTGGCTATATTGATTGTGAGGCATTGCATTATTATTGGTTGCTATTTATGTTGTGTTATTTAGGTTTTTAATAATAGATGTGTTGTTTTTTAATTTTTAATTTATTAGCAGCCTACTGTCATGTATATGAGATGAACACCTATATAAATTTATTGCAGTAAATTCATTTAAATATATTTAAGTAAATATATTTTAATAGCATCACCTTGCAGTCAGTGAAGAAATTGAAACATTTTAATTTTAGCAAGACAATGTAAAAAATATCTCCAAATCAGATTTGAAGTTGATATTTTGATTCCTGCAAGGAAGGGTGATAAAGAAAATCCTAAAGCAAATACTGAAAGATTCTCATAGCTGGCTACTTTAAAAATTTGAATGTTATTAATTTTGCAAAAGGAGAGATTACAAAGTATTGACTAAAAGGGTGTTCAGTGTTCTGCACCTGCCATAGTCACATAGTTCATGTTTTGAATCTGTATACTCTTGCATATAAATTGTTACATATATATCCACCTCTGCAATCATGTCATGCTTATACTATGCAGATGTTTTGTCAACTTTTGTTCATTTAAAACTAAGAATTTGGCCAGTAGTGTCTAACTTTCGATGCACTGTGTACTGTAGGAACTAATTACGGTAAATGCAAGAGGATTCTTTACAATCTTAAAGATGGTTAATCTACTTCCCCGCAATATTTCATAACTTCACTGCTTCACCAATATACAAGCAACTTGTCTGTTAAAGACAAATTACAAATGGAACCAGAACAGAAAAGGCAGCAGGGATTGTAAACATCTAGAAAAACATGCTAACCACTTGAGTATCAATATGCTAATTAGCTAAAATGGGTCAATTGAAATATAGATAACAATAAGGTAGCATAGCGGTCTGATTTAATTGTGCAGAGAACAGCCAAACCTTTTGTCAGGGATAGTAAAATCATTTTTTTCACTGATTTATGTTTCTTTTTTGTTTATGTAATACAAATTAAAGTCTTGCATATAAGCATAACATTTAAATATTACTATGTATATATCAATATTCTGACATACATTTTGAAATAAGGCATCAATAAATGAATTGGGAAATATAAAAGCATATGGATAACTTGAAATCAGCACACTTGTTTAGCATGTACATAGATCTAGATGGCAATCAACTTTGTAATCAAACACTGAACTTTTAAAGCATGCCTAATTTAATTTTATCTAAAAGGAAGTTTTGGGAGGTAGATTAGATTAAAAGAAAATACTGGATCCTAATGATAAAACTCAATATAACTAGGATAAGAAAGCCAAACATTTCAGCTCCTTCATTTTAACTATAATGATATATTTCTTAATGATATTCTGACAAAACCATTGTTATTTTTTTATGTATTTACTCATTGTCATATTTTTAAGTTTAAATGTTACTTCATAAAGTGTCCGTTTTAAACTAACAAATTTATAAAATTTCTCAAATACAGTTATATTTCCCCCTGAGCATTTCAATTGCAAACCACAATCACCATCAAATACTTCATATCCTCTTAATGCCCTCAAGCGGTTACACTTAGCTACTACAAGCGGAAATTGAATTCCATCCCTACCACTCCGTTTACAGAAAGAAGTTGGTCTCCACGCTTCAATCCCCCGTGTCTATCAGCAATACCACCTGGGATAATTCGGGATATATAGATTGGAGAATTTTGCTCCTTGCCGCCCATGATGTTGAATCCAAGCCCTTCGTCTGTTTTGGGAAGTTCAACGACTCTGGGATGTGAATGACCTTCACTGGCGGCAAAAGCAGCAACAGTAGCCTATAAAATCCAGAAACCTCCAGTTTATCCTTCAGTTCATTGGATGTATTCATTCTAACATCAATTTCAAAATATCGTGAAACCGAAAATTGGTCAAAAGCCATGAATGTGCTCAAAGTAAGTCTCAGGACTGCATTCTGAGGAAAGTACAAATCAGTTAAAATAGTCACACAAACTGTCATTTACCATATTTTGCTAAAAAAAAGAGCATGCAGTGAAGGTGTTTCATAATCCTACTTCATCCCCATGTGCATCTTGTTCCCATCTTAATTTTTAAGTCAATTTTAATGTTAAATATAACTTCACTGTTTTAAACATTGTTTTAATGTTTTATCTTGGTTTCTTTTGGCTGCAAGTCACCTAAAGTCACTTCTAGGCAAGATGGGTGGCATATGAATTTAATTAATAAATAATAAATACCTAGAATGAGAACACTTGGTCTATTTGCACTTTTTGAAGTGCTATAGTTTATTATACAGGCACATTCTTTATAACAAATACAATGTGATGTATTTTAACTTATTTTGGAACAAAGTACAAGATGTTTAATAAGAAACAGGCACAAGTGGATTAACAACAAATGTTCTAAAGCCAGACTGTATCTTTTATTCTACTTTGCGTTCAAGATAGAAAGATCAGATTCCTGCCACAGATAGTCCTCGCTTACTGACTATTCACTGACTACTTTGAAGTTACAAAGTGATGAAAAAATAATTTTATGACTAATGCCTACATTTATAACCTTCCCAGCATCCCTCAGTCATGTGATTACTCTTTATAGTCAATACATAATATCTCGCAACTGATCTATTTTGTTTTTTTCCCTTGCAGAAAAAGAAATTGGAGAAGAAGGGATTACAAGAGAGTAAGTAGGTACACAATAGGGCACATGTATTGAAAGTAATGTGCTGGTGCCAACAGCTGCTCATTGTGCTGCATACTGTAGTGTAACAGCCCAATATATTCCCTGTTTTATTCCTATTTCTTTTTCTCTCCCCACACAGAGCAGAGAGATTGAAGATGAATCGATTACAAGAATAAACAAACACACAATGGGGAATACACAAGGCTCTTTGTGTAAAACCCACTTGCAACTGCCTGCTCCACATTGAAAGCAATGTGTACTTCCCATTGTATGCCTATATACTTTTTTGTAATCTCTTCCTCTCCAATGAATGTCAATACAAATGTTATTTCCCTTCCTGTATATTATCCCAGCATCCGGGAGACTATTCAAAAGGTTAGGAAGAAAAAAAACCAAAGGTATGAAATTGATTAGTCTTGGCAGATTTTAACCAGAAAAACACAGTTGCAGACATGTGATTTCCCACTTAGCAACTACTTTGCTTAGCAATGCAGATCTCAATTGTGGTCATTAAATGAGCATTCACAACTATCTTACTGTATATGTGTGTGTAATATGCACAAAAAATACCAATCCAGTAGGCATGTGAACTAGAAATATCAAATATGTAGCAACCTTATGTGAATATTAGTCAATTAGTAAATATTAACTACTTCAGTTTATTATTTTGGAAGAATTTAAAAAGGGCAGTTCAATAGTAGCAGCACCCATATACTGAAACTATTCACTGGGACATATTCATAGTTTAATAACTTAATTAGGACTTGCTAGAAAGAGTCCATTCTTAAGTACTTTTTGTTAGCACAATCTCTTACCTTTGCTGTAGCATTAGCTCTCACTTCTGGGCTACTACTGATGTCCACAGTTTCATACACATGTTCATATACCTTTAGAAAATAAAAATATTAACATGTTAATACATTTTAATTAGGTAGGGATCATTAAGAATAGATGCAAACTGTAAAATTATATTATTATAAAAATGAAACTGAATCCTGACATTAGGTTTTCTAGCTCTTTGCTTCTAACAGATATACATACTGTATACTTATTACATTTTAAGTGATGAACTTGTATTTTGTCATCTAATACAGGTAATCCTTGAGATACAACAGGTAACTTAACCATCAATCAAAATTATGACAGATCCCCCCCAAACTAGATATGATTTTGTTTTAAATTGTTATGACTGACCATGGGGACACTGCAGCCCTCTCTTCTCCGCCCATCTCAACCTGAGGGGACCCTGCAGACTTGGGCTTGTTTCCCATGCCTCCTGGAAGCAGCCACTATTTCCAATGCTCCAATAATTCCTTGTGGAAATGGCTGCTTTCAGAGCTGCCCCCCCCTTCCCCGGTCAGCTGGATGTCAGAGACAGCAAACTTCTTCTGACTCTTGTTAGCCCTTTGGGAAGCCTTTGGGAAGCAATTCAAGGGTGACAGCTTCAGGCCCCCCAATTTATCCCATTTAAAAACCTCATTTTCTAAATTTACTGCATGCCTGGAAACAGGGTGACAAAAGTGACTTACCTTCATTCCAGGTTGGAGCAAAGGAAAGGAATCAACCAACCAAAGAAAATCTTTCTGCACCATCTTTCAGCTCTGGAGGAGCTGAAGAAAAAGTTCAGTCCCAAATCAAAAGTGTATAAAGCACAAATGTGCAGCAAATGGCCATGACATAAACTGGGTCCTAAAAGGGACTCAGATAGCAAAAAGCTTTACAAGCCTTCCAAGCTTTCATTTCCTTAAATCAAGTATGTTTAGCAAATGAGGTTTTTAAAAGGGATACTGATTGGACGGAAGAGGTGGATATTTTCATTTCAGCACTTTTTTGGGGGTGGGGGGTGGGAAGATCAACAAGTCTGTCCTCTCAGCTTTGTTTTGTTTTTTAATTGAGGAAATGTAAGTTTCTGGGGGAGGGAGTGGGATAAGCAAAGGAAAGGTTTTAGATTGGTGCTGGAGCTGCTGGCTTCCCAAAGGCTAGTAAGAGCCAGGAGAGGTTTGCCAATGGGCAGCTAATTGTGGCAGAGGCCAAGCAGAGGCTTGTCTGGAAGCCACTTCAGCATTGGAATGAAGCACTGGTCTCTAATCTAGCTGAGCTCTTTTCCCCACTGGTCAATTTTTTGGCTTTGCAATCCTTTATGGACACAGCTGGATGGCAGGTATCCCCCACCCATGAAGTACCACATGATCACTTAATGACCTGCAAGTTCAACGTAGGGGTAGGGGATGTTAAGGAGGCTGTCTCCCTTAATGAATGTCACCACTTGCGACCATAATGGGCAGGCTCCATTAGGGTCACAGGTCAAGGACTACCTGTAAATGAATTTCAAAGATAAACTTACCTCCCTTACTGCATTACAAAATTCACTTTGAAGGACTCTTTGTAAAGCCTGCAATTTTTGAGGTGGTACCTCACCACTCCTTTGCAACTTCTCCAGCAACTCAATAGCTCGGCAAATATCTGGAGGAAGAGGTAATAAAACATGAACTATTGAATTTTACACAAGTAACATTTTTAACAACTTGACATGGCTGCCAACAATATGCTATTCAATAACATACCATTTCAATTATATTCTGATATTCTCTTTAGAAAGGAGTTTCTTTATTTCCCATTTTAAAATTAAGGAGTTTTAAACAAGGCATAACTAACTAGTTTTTTTTTGTTTTTTTCCCCTCATGATATGAATATCTTTATCATTTTTTCACAATTTTTATAGTATCTGAGAAGAGATCTATCATATTATCCTGCCTGTTATTTCATAACTAACTTTTGAAAAAGCCACACCAAGTTAACAGGTTTACATATTTTTATGATTTTTTTATTTTTGTTTTTGTACATCACTCAGTATCCATTAAGAGTTGAATGTTTATAATAAATAAGGTATAAATAATCATAACCATTCAATGCATACTTCTTTGGGATTTGGATCCATTAATGCAATAGTATCCAAACATTAATTTTCTACTTGATTTGAGCATCCAAGATAGCCTAGAATTGCATTCCAAATTTAAAAGTTCATAATATTCCTTTAATTGAAGATATTCTATCTTTGTGTAAAATATTTCTGCTTGTTTAATCTATACTTTTTAACAGTTGTGACTTTTTTGCATTTCTTAAATCCAATCCATTCTCAAAACAGCAAAAGAAGGTTGAGGTAAGCTACTGGAAATTCTTCACAAGTGATCTTTCAGCCATTCAAACTTTATTTCTTCATTTTTTAAATAGGGTGATGAAGGAAAAGATGCCACTTCATACATAAACTTTATCCTAGTTGAGGCTCAATAATCTCACATTTAAAAAACCTGTTTTGGTGGCATATATTCCATAGGAATTGTGCATGCCTTGGAGAAAAATCCCAAATAATGTAGACAAACACGTCCAAAATGAAAAGGAATGAAAATTGGAAAAGGAATTTGTTCCAGATAAAAATCCCGTGTTTTAAAAAGTATGAATGATCCCTGATAAAAAAACAAAACAGAGGTACAATTAGTAAACATCTTACTGACGCATGGGATTAAGATAATTTATAGAAGAGAGCGATCTTAAAATCAGAAGCCTATATTTGCTGTGACATAATTAACAAAATAAAAAGGAATATTGATGGTAAAATAAATTTTATCTGACAAACATCATCTAACTGTTGCAGTAAATCCTTGATTCTATTCATTATGAAAGGCTTTGTTTTAGAGCAGGAATGGTAAGTAATATCCTGCCTTTGGTTGCTAAACCAAACCAATCCAAAAGGCCTCTTGTAACCAATTACTTTATTTGAAACAGAGTAATCACTCAAATTAGTGGTCACTAAAATATTTTGCCTTCTTCAGTAAAAGATAATTCACATTTCAGTTCATCACCCAAACCAGAATGATCATCATCATCATTTTAACCATTTATCCACTGCAGGATGAAGGCCTCTTCCGCATATTTCCAATCAATATGATCTGGCGCTTTCTTTTGCCAATTAGGCTTACCATACTTGCTGATGTTGTCAATCCATCTTCTTTTAAGTCTCTTTCGTGAACACCTTTTATCACGTGGGATCCTTCTATGTCTGCCTTGATCCACCTGACATCATGTTCTTATTGCTATTTGACCAGCCCATTTCTATTTCAATTCTTTTACTCTCTTCATATCATATACTTTTGTTTGTTTTTTAATCCATGTGTGGATCTATCTTGTCCTGTAATACTGAGCATGTGTTTTACCATCGCTCTGCACCACTCATAGCTTTTGTATAGATTGTAAGGTTAGTGTCCATGTTTCACCAGCATATGTTAGAACAGGTAGCACAGCCTTATCAAAAATGTTTCTCTTCAGGCATAAGGGGAGGCTGTTCTTGAAAATTAAGCTTAGCTTTCTGAATACATGTCAACCACATTTAATATGCTGTTCAATTTCCTTTATTGTATCAACTTCCACTGAGATCCATTGTTCAAGGTATATGTAGTGGTTTACTACATCTAGTTCTCCAGATCTTCAAGCTGGCTGATGGCGAGTGAGACCTCGCTGAAACGTTGCCAAGACAATCTCAATCTTACATGGGAAAAGACCCGAATACAACAAGACCAGCATACCTACACCCGTGAAAATCTACAAATAGATAGATAGATAGACAGACAGACAGACAGACAGACAGGCAGAGACAGAGAGGGAGGGAGAAAGAGAGGGGGGGAGAGAGAGGGGGGGAGAGATACGTTTTGGGGTGAATTTATTAAACATAACTTGGCTCTATATATATATATATATATAAATCTTGTGGGGGTGAATTTATTAAACATAACTTGGCTCTTTTTCAGGTTTATTTTTGAGGCAAATGGTTCTCATGCTTTGCAGTTCTTGAAAAAAACCAGAATGATAGCGGTCCTAAATATGTGTTACTCAATTCACATTTCAGTTAATACCTTAAAGAATTACAGTACTGTAGTATATGCCAGGGTTTATCATGTCTCATGTTTCAAGATCTCAGAATAGGTCTTTAGCAAAAACTGAAGTGGTAAAAGGATTTTAATATAATAGGGCTCTATGTTTCCTGGCATAAAATGTTTTGCAAGCAACTGCCAGAAGCTTAATTACTGGGTATGGAAATCATTAACTGTTAACCATCAAAACAGCTGAGCAAAACCAATATTTTCTACAGCAGTCTTTGAAGATTAGAAATCAAAACATAGAGGCTTCACATGACAAAGGGCAGGCCCAACAGCAGAGTCCAAGCATCATATTCTTGTGAATATTGTTTAATTTGTCTTGAGTGACTGAAAAGCAAATGATAAAATACTGTCCAGAATAAATATAATTACAATAAGCCACTATAAGACTTCTATAATCTCAAAAGCTGTGACAGTTCTAGTACTCTAAATGTACTGACAGCTACTGATAAACATTTCATAAGATATAATCAGAGTAACCAAGCTTAACTTTTCTATTACGACTTAAAAACTGGCACACTTAAAAACTTCTGAGAATGATTACATATTACATTAAGAACAGTGGTTATTTATAGATTTCTTTAAATTTTGCACAAATAGAAAGTTAAGGATGCATGCAACTTTTTATTTAGATATTCAATCTTTAGTGACATATTGTGATTATATTATATTGGGAAGTTTATATGTTTCCTTTTTTCTTCGTGCCTTTTCACAAAATTCTTCAAGCCTTTTTAAATCCAATAGAGGAAAGTTATCCAGGTCACTCCCCTGGTTTGTTATTTTATATCCTTTTCATTATTAAGGTATCAGCCAGGTGCTTTTGTATAACATCAGTGTAACATCTGTTTCCATGTAATTTTTATAGCTTGTCATTGTTAATTTCACTTTCAAATCAGTCCCAACCTTGTCAGGTAAAATCTGTTCCTCTTCCATAACCTCTTTTAAACACAGTCCATCTATAGAAGCAGACACCCTTAAAATTATCCTTTGGGTTCATTATTCAAAAATGTGCATCAGTATGTCGAACGTTAAAATATTTTGCTTCATTCTGTATTTGAAAGTTGAGTTTAAGTGTTCTTCTTTAATTGTAATTTTTAATTCCTTCTAGTTGCCTCTAGTGTGCAATTTTTAAAAGTCTTTTATCTCATTTCTTATAAAAGATGTCAAAACAACAGCATCTATGGAGATACACACACATATACGTTGCAAAACCTGTTGATCTAAAGGTTCCCAATAGGTGAAAAGCAATTAACAATCAATGGTGGAAAATGATTAGAAAGTATGCAAACACAATGTTCTTTCAAAGGTCCTGTGATTTAAGCATAGTGGTTATTCCCTTGCCTTCCAAAGCTCTAAACCTGCCAGGAGAGCACTATCTTGCAGTCTCTTTGCAAGGAGCCCTTGTGGGCAATCTCAAGTTCTCTCCTTGTCCAGAGAAGAATGATCAAATAACCAGTCTACCTGCCAGTTCTTCATTTCACCATGGATTTTAGTTCTGGTTTTTACAGAGCCATTTTCAGCCTGCGATTTGTTGGGTGTTCTAATCCTCTAGGACAGTCAGAGATGCCAAACTCAAGTCGTCATGGCGGCATCACATGATGTATTGGATGTTTTTCCCCTCTGCTAAACTGAGTGTGGGCATGGTCAGCGCATGACGCATCCGGCCCATGGGCCGGGAGTGGACAGCCCTGCATTAGGAAAATAGATGTTGTAATCATACAACTTGCAGAGGAGGCAAGACAGAAAACAGTAAGTTTTCGTTTAAGAAGCTTCATTATTTATTTGTGATATTTTGAAACATCTTGAATCTAAAAGGCATATTGCGCGATAAGTTTAGAACAGGGGTTTCCAACCAGAGACAATATTCCAGAAGGTGCAAAAACTTGGGTTTAGAAGTTTCAAAATTATAGTTTATATGCATAATTATATGCATATAATTATTTACTTTTGTAAGGGGTGCAAGAATATATCAGAAGCATTCTAGTGGTGTAGGGTATAGAAAAGTTTGGGAACCCCTGGTTTAGAATATGGCTTTGATCCAATTACTCTTGTACATCTGACTTTGTAAAAGTTTTGCTGTGATGATAAAAGGTGGAAGGCTATTTATTTTTAATTTGTTAGAGAAAAGTCAGAAATGTACAACAATGAAGAAAGTTGTTATTAGGATATGCAATCTAAATTATGAATTTGGACAAGCTTCCTAATTCAAGGTTTTTCTAAACAAACCTGAAAGGAAAATAATCTAATATTGTTCTTTAATCCTTACTTGGCAGTTCATTTACTGTTTGCTTTTACTGGATGGAAAAATGTCTTATAATGCCTCAGGCATTGGGGCCAGGATGTTAAATCATTGGTGCTCTTATATTTGAGTGTATATATGGGAACAATTTTTTTACCAGGGCCTTGATCTAAATTGTTTTCTTAGTTTTTAATAGATTTGACATTTTATATGGTTTGCTATCCAGAATTTCACTGGTGAGCCATGTACATTTGATAAATAAATGTTAACTGAAATAAAATTAAATGTTCTAGTTCAACTGTCTATTGGTACATACATATTGTTACTTCAGAAATGACTGGAGATATTTCATTTTTAGATAAATAGTATTATCCCTTGGTTTCTAACTCTCTTCCTCCTTTAAAGAAATAATTTCAAAAGTCTTTAATAATTTTATCTTCTAACAACACACACCAGAAATTACTACTTTACAAAACATTATTTTCAACAAATGCATTATCTTTAAATTTTACATATAGTAGTTATAACCACATAAATTTAGAATTAAAAATACATCTGCATCTTATTCAATCCAAGGTATGTTCAAAATATAGAAGGAAATAGCATCTTCATTTGACCTTCCAAATGGTCAAATAATGATCCTATCTGACCATCCAAATGTACGCATATGAATTTGGCTTGGCACAGAATGAGTAGCTTGCATGTTTAAACAAAAAAACATTTTCTTGGTTGAAGTGTTTAAATGTGCTTTTTATGAATGGATCAAAAAGTGCCTCCAAACCACATTTTCTAACTGCTTTACCCTTACTAGAACATAATGGTTCCTAAAACATAATATATTCATCTAGCTGGCAAACCACCTACCAAAAGAACTTCAATGTCATATGATTAGGGGACTGGAGGCTGCAGGGTATGTGCAGTTTAATGAAAAGAAGGACTAGGGGTGGTGACATGATAGCAGTATTTCTATATCTTAGGGGCTGTCACAAAGAAGAGGGAGTCAAACTATTCTCCAAAGCACCTAAGGGTAGAACAAGAAACAATGGGTGGAAACTAATCAAGGAGAGAAGCAACTTACAACTTGACAGTTAGAACAGTTAATCAGTGGAACAGCTTGCCTCCAGAAGTTGTGAATGCTTCAACACTGGAAGTTTTTAAGAAGATGTTGGATATCCATTTATCTGAAGTGGTGTTGGGTTTCCCGCCTAAGCAGGGGGTTGGACTAGAAGATCTTCAAAGTCCCTTCCAACTCTGTTATTCTAAATTCTAAATATGGATTTAAACTTGAGATTAGAATATTTTTGACTTTTCATCTTAGCCTACAACCCTGGTACTTCTTGAAGGGTTCCCTTCAATGTATGGACCAGGCCGAACCAAACTCTAATCAAGTTCTGAATTAAAACAAAATTGGCCAGGTGCTTAGCCGTAGCATGTCAAATTTGACGATTTTAATATTGGGGTGTGTGTGTGTGTGTGTGTGTCCCCTGCAACGTTGTGTGAACCCATCTCCGTGGGTTCACTACATTCTACAAGCATCCAAAAGGAATCACTGTATAATGCAATAAGATAAAGTTAATCGCGTTATACCAAAACGGCTTTAGGTCAAAGGAGGCAGCATGGGTGAATATTTGGAGGCAAGAAGCTCGCTCCTCTTTTACAATACAAGCTTTCATCGAGAGCAGCAACCTCAACGACCTTCGGATATTGTTGGATTACAACTCCTCATCTAACGCGGGTGAGGGAGCTCATACGGCTGTAATTCCTATCAGCATCTGGAAAGCCGCCCCTCCTCCTCCTCCTCCTCCATACAGCCAAGGCTCAGGATCGCAAACGCCTGCCAAGGACGGTGGAGAGCTCAGAGTCCCTCCCTCGCTTTTTTTTTTTTTACACGCACCGCCTTTGAAGTTGGTTCTTCGAATCCCCCCACCCGTCCCGCCTCCCTTCCAGGACGCGGCTCCTCGCGGCTCCCCTTCTCACCTCGCTCCAGCCGCACAGGCTCCCCCAGGGCCGCCATCTTCCCCTCCACCTCCTCTCTTGCCCTCAGCTGCTCTGGCGGAAGTGACGTCGATGGGAGGTGTTGCTGTTTGAATGACGCGAGGCCGGCAAGGTAGTGGGAACGCTCGAATCCCTCGCTGCCAGTTCTGTCTTTTCAGCCTCTTGTTCGGTCTCTTTCCCCTTGTCTGCAGGCTCGGAAGAAAGTTTGCTGTGTCCCGCGAGACAGTCCCTCTTTTCAATAAAAGGGTTGGGTAGCTTTGGCGCCAACTATTGCGCTTTCTTGGCCCGGAGAAGTTGGCTCATTTTAGTCCCAAAGGTGGTGTGTGTATGTGTGTGTGGAGTCCTTTCCCAAGAGGCAACTGGATTTTCTGGGGGGAGGGGGGGGTGTTGGAAGACGTTTCTCTTCTCATCAAAAATGCTTCCTTAGCTTTGTCTAGATAGTGGAGAATGGAAGGATTTATTTATTTATTATTTTATTTATTTTGCCAAACGTCTCCGAGATAACAAGTGTAAGTATAAACATAAATATGAACACAGTCAATGGGTACGAATAAAGGGAGACAGTAGGACAGGGGCGGTGCGCTTATGCCCGCCCCTTACAGACCTCTTAGGAATGGGGTGAGGAGGTTTACATTTTATATTTCTTGCAGACAGCTGGTCATTTGCATCCTTTTAGACAGAGTCGTTGAGGTGTCCTCAGAATCATCTGAGTAGCGCAAATGAGTGTGGAGCAGTGGTGGGTTTCAAAAAATTGTAGAACCTCTTCTATAGGTGTGGCCTGCTTTGTGGGAGTGGCTTGCCGGCCATGTGACCAGGTGGGAGTGGCTTGCCAGCCATGTGACTGGGTGGGAGTGACTTGTCAGCCATGTGACTGGGTGGCAGGGGTGGGTTTCTCGCCCTGTTCCAACCAGTTCAGTTGGAACGAGGCCGGCGGCGTCCTCGCGCACGTGTGCGGGGTCCTCGCACACGCATGCGCTGCACACAGCGCACGCATGTGTACTAGCATCTGTGCGATGCTCCAGCTGCTCCTGGAGGATCGCGCAGGCACTATGCGTCCTGCGCATGCGTGGAAGCGCAGAATTCATCAAAACCGGGTAAGGAGCGGGCGCGGGCGCGCAGGCACGCGCAGGGGGGGCCTTCGCCGTTCCCGGAAGTTACTTACTTCCGGGTTCGGCGACCAACCAGTTCGCAGGGACTGCCGCGAATCGGTTGAAACCCACCCCTGCTGGGTGGGCATGGCCAACTTGTAAAATGTGGTGAAACTCACTTAACAATGCTCTTGCTTAGCAACCAAAATGTTGGCTCAGAAACGCTAGCATTTGAAGCACGAAAGTCTTAAAGCTGTCAAGTTACAAGACCCTTGCACCCCTAACTCTTTAGAAAAAAAAAACCCAGGGGTGTTCAAACTTGACAGCTTTAAGACTTGTGGACTTCAACTCCCAGAATTCCTCCTCTCGCTCTTCAATTTGATGATGTGTGGATGGGCGGGGGGAGGGAGCTGGAACCAGTTCTAAACGGCACTGTAGATTTGTGGAACCTCTTCTATAGAAGCGGTTAGAACTGGCAGGAACCCACCCCTGGTGTGGAGTCTTCTTGGAACTGTGTTGTAGATTGGAGGTAGATGATGTATCCACTCCAATTCCCACCATCCAGTCAAAGCTTAAAAAGCTTCTTGGGTGAGAAGTGAAATGTCTTCAAAGAAAAAAGAGGAAGTCCAGTTGCCTCTTGAAAAAGCACCTTTGGGACAACCATGACTTGGATGACTGAGCATCTCCATAGACACATGGCTCATTTTAGTTGTGCTGGTATGAACATGAGAGATTTCCTGCAGCCTGAAGAAAAGGACATCTGCCAGATGAACTTCTTTGGGCTTCAGACTGATTTCTCAGTGAGTCTGTATGGAAAAGGAAGAAAGGGTGGGAGGTTGATAAAGAGCTAAGCGTGGCCCAGCCGTTTTGGGCCAGTTGCTGTGCAAAACATAGGAAGAGCCAAAGCCACGCCAAAAGAGTTTACAGGTAGTTCTCCACTTAATGACCACAATGGGGCCCAAAATTTCTGTGGTTAAGCAAAACATTTGTTAAGCGAGTTGTGTCCCATTTTACAGCTTTTATTGCCAGAGTTGTTAGGTGAATCACTGCAATTGTAAGTTAGTAATATGGTTAAGTGAATCTGACTTCCCCATCGCTTAGCTTGTCACAAAAGGTAATCCTGCAACCCTTGGACACTGCAACCATCATAAATATGGGTAAGTTGCCAAATGTCTGAATTTTGATTATCTGGGGATGCTGCAATGGTGATAAGTGTGAAAAACCATCATAAGCCACTTTTGTTCAGTGCCATTGTAACTTTGAATGGTCATTAAATGAACTGATGTAAGTCGAGAATTACCTGTACTTATCAAACTTGTTTGCCATCTATCAAGCCGAAAGTGAAGAATAAGCCACTGTTTGATAAACTGGTTAAATCATCATTCTAGCCATTGCCTATTCACTGCAGGATAAAGGTCTCTTCTGCATGTTTTTGACCAATATGCTCTTGAACTTTCATTTGCCAATTGGGCTCACAATACTTGCTGATGTCAAGTCCATGAAACTTGCTGTTTCATGGACGCTTTTTATCAAGTGGGATCCATTCTATGACTGCCTTGGTCCGCCTGCTATCAGTACTTCTTGCTATCTGATTAGCCCATTTCCATTTCAATTCTTTTACTTTCTTGATGATATCGTATACTTTTGTTTGTTCTCTAATCCACATGCAGGTCTTTCTGGGTTGTCTTGTAATGCCGAACATGTATCTTTCCATGACTCTTAGCGCCACTCATAACTTTTGCATCGATTGTGAACTGGTTAAATAAGATGGATAATTTTTACTGGATAAATCTCTAGGTATCAGGACCAACATCCTTAGCAATCAGAACATTTCAGCAGTGGAACTAATTATCAACTGAGCTGGCTCCCATTCATTGAACTTGCTCAAACTGAAGCTGGACAGGTGATAGCCTGAAATGGCAGCTTCTAACTCTCATTCTATAATTAATGGATTTTTAGGATGTGCCCAACCAGATGCTGCCAGTACTTCCCTAAGTTGTACATAAATGACATGTGGTCATTGGTAGTAAATTCCAAATCAAACTTCCCACTGGAATTTCTTTGATGACATTTGGCAGCTTTTAATCTGGTAGTAATTGAAATTTAAATGCTTCCGTTCTAGTTGCAATAGACTTTTGTTTGACTTGCTTATGAGCTCTGACAAATCAGTACTATTTACACCACTGTGGAGGAAATGTGCAAAGTTGTGTGAGAGCCTTCAGGCCTGATTGAATAGAGCAATGGAAGGGAGCCCTGCATGGATGGGATGAATGTCATTGATTCACCTGATTGCCATTCTCAGTGACCTGCAACAACACCTAATCTTGTTAGACAATAGGTTATTTTAAAGTTGATTAAAATACAGGTAATCCTTGTTTATTCATTGCCTTGTGCATTGACTGTACAGGTATGAGGTTAAAACGGGGCATTATCACCATAGCAGCATTCTGTGGTCACATGAACTCCATTCACGTGTTTTGTAACCAACTTGCAATAAGCAGACTTAATAAAGAAGTTGGAATTAAAATCATAAGTCTCAATCACATTTTTTGCTTAGTACCCATGGCATTTTGTTTAAGCAAAGGAGAACTAAGGTCATGAGCTCTTTGCGATCACATGATTTTTTTTGCTTACCACCAAGTTGCCAGTCCCAGTTATGGTTGTTAAGCAAGGATTACCTCTAAGTTAAGTAATCTTCTGTAAGCACAAATATTAGTGATATCTGATCTCATCTTGGAAATAATCTTTTCTGCTTATGCTAGCATTATTATTTGCCTTGCAGGGCAGGAGGTGTTAATTTTTTATTACTCAAGTTGTGTTACTTTTACATTACTCAGGTTGTATGAATGCTTACTACTTCATTCTCTGCTTGTATTCAGTTGCTCATATACTAATGCAACATTTGTTTCCCATCTCTTTAGGATCTGCTCCTGTATTTCATCTTCATTAGCTAACTGGGCCTCCTGGAACTGTTGAATGAGGTATTGCAACGTTGTCTCCTTATATATTTGTTCCTGAAAGAAGAGAAATTATTTTTGCCTTTGTAATAAACACATGATAATTCAATTTCTCATGTTATCCTTTGTTGTTATGTTTGGTATACATATGAGTGAATTTCTACATGTTTAGCTATGGGGAAGGGTTCAGTAAAACCAACAATAAACATGCAATATCTGAAGTAACCTCCACAATTTATGAAGTTTTATATTACTAATTGAGCCAAAGAGCTTGCTTTACTGAGACTGCCTCAGTCTGATTATCATGTATAAGTGGATGAAAAACCAAAGAAAGTGGGTGCAACAGATACTTTGTTCAGTAATGCCAATGAATGTCTTCCTAGTGGATCTTTGCAGTTTTTCAAATTAATGTTACTCAAAATGAAATGTGTTATCCTTGAGCTTATGGCATCAAAGCCAGGAGAAACACAGAAGATTCCAACTTGCATATTGGCTTTCAGAAGAGCAGATTTTGATGTATTTAGACACAAAGTAGATTACAGCCATTGGCTTGAAATTCTTAAGGAGAAAAGCACCTGGGAAGGAGCGGAAAACTGTAAACTGAAATGCCAAAGGTACAAATTATTCCTTCTAGAAAGAAGAAGGGGAAATTGATCTCTGTTTAGACCATTGTGATACATAGTTTTTTCTGCCATATTTGAGAAGAAAAAGGAACATGCGTAGGAAATAGGACTATATAACCAAATACAAGTCAGTTTCCAGAAACTAGGATTTGGGCCAGAAAGGCATAAATTCAGAATGAACTGAGACTTATATAAAACAATAAAGGGCTTTTTCAGATTTATCAGAAACAAACAAAAAAGACTGTGGAATTGTTGTGAGGTAAAAGGAAGGGAATTGATAGTGGTTGATAGTTATAAGGGAGAGTAACTTATATTTAATATGATTTTCTCAAAGGAGAACAAAGCCCTAGCTGATCACCTTTGTGCCACTAATCCATAGAGAAAAATG